GTCACACACTGTACACAGAGCTTTACCGGCGACATCGAGCTTTTTCACGAAATCCGACACAAGCACAATGGTTCCTCTTTACTGTTTCCTACTGGGGACACCGTCAGCTTTCTATCCAACCAGTCCCATCGAAACGTGTTTTTCAGATTCGCATCTATCTGACGCACTTTAGCTTCGTCGCAAGTCTCGATAACATTCGGCATTCGCGAGAAAGGGGTTTAGGAAAGCGAACACGGATTGGTTGTGATTTGCATTTGCCGATATAGCGACCAATCACAACAAATAAGACATCATACACGTCCAATCGCAGGGCTGTTTACAATCGGAAGATGGAAAGACTGATCGGGAGAGCTCGTGAAAACTCGACGATAAGGTACCTGACCCCCCCTAAAATTTTCTCAACGGATTTAGACGATTCACAAAAATGATCAATTTAAGAAATAAAACGGCGGATTTCCACGTATCCACGGAAAATTGCCACCCCTGTTACTCTTCCAGGCGATCGACCGCACAGCACACCTGACATCTCTGTGTGCACAGGGTTTGAAAAACACTGCCATACATCACTGTCTGTGTGCTGTTTTCACCAACTTAGATTTTCTCCTCCCAGTATTGTGCTAATTAGTGTGTAAACCATGCATCTTGCATATTCATTGACAGAAACGTACTACCTAGATGAGAGCTATTTTGCACATTTGAGAGTCGCAGTCCTCAGTGCACACTGTTAGTAAATGGATTTGTATATTTATTTGCATGTGCTTACTGAGCTGTAAGACTACACGCATTTCGAACCCATTGTGGCCCACAAGTCAAAAAGTTTGCCCACCCCTGGTTTATAACAGTGGCATAAACATCACTTGGTCCAAGTCTGTGTGCAAAGCGCTATGAAATTGCACAATGTTTTGCTCGCGAAGAGAGTTTTATTTCTTCACAATAATGTGTGTTTTACTTGTTACTACGTGTGTTTTCTGTAATTATTTTTGCCTACACACTGATAAAACAAGGTAAACGTACTGTAACGTTGTGGGCTTAGAACGGATCAATTCCCATTCATTTCAATGGGCAACATGACTGAATGTTTCGGTTCACTCATGGTAGTGGTTCTTCACCTGAGTTCGATCGAACCCCAGGGGTTCGGTGAATCGGTCTCAGGGGTTTGATGGAGCCTCCGCCATGGAGGTTAAGACACACCCGACTCGACATGTCAATTAATTATGACACGCCCGCTTGACCATTACTGGCTGCAGAACGTGTAACTGTCGTGATAGTACGTCGTGTGATTTTTTTTAGAATGTTTTAATACACGCTATGTCGAGCAAAAAAAAAGAAAGTGGTTGGACGAATATGTACTCCATGGATTCACATGCATCACAGAACGTGATGGGACTCAGCGTTCTATCTGCATGATTTGTCATGCCAAGTTGAGCAACTCTAATCTCGCACCAGCAAAACTGAAAGAACACTTCTTGAATCAGATTTTTATTTTTCAGTAATGAAGGGTTCGATGAAAGTGCATATGAACTGGTTGGGTTCGGTACCTCTAACAAGGTTAAGAACCACTGACTCATGGAGACTCAGGACAAATTGAGTGTGTGAACCAAGATTCCACCTAAATTAAATGACTTTACCAAATATGTTATTATTAGTGCATACATTCACATTACGAAAGGGGCTGGTTTTAGTTACCATGCTTCCAATCATTTGCAAAACATGAGAATCACTTCACCTCAATGTTTCCTAGTGTGGGATGCTCGATCCTCCTGAGCAAGGACATGACTCTCTTTTGCAATGTAGAGCGACCTCAGAGCACAAACAAAACCGTATAAGTGAGTAGGATGCAAAAGAGATTCCACATTGTCCTGCTTTTGGTCACCACAATGAGTTTTGTTTGTTTGACTCACCTGTTCCCATCATGTTGCTTATGGAGGCAAGTTCACTGAAAGTGGCATAGTTGGGCAGGATGGTCTGGACGGACACTTCGTCAGCAGCACTACGGATGTCAGCCTCTTCACAAAGGTGGCGGAAACATGACATGGCAACTAACACGGCCTCTGTGTCTGAACTCCACAGGAACATATAGAGACACACTTCAAGCTTGGTCTGAGCCTGCCTGCAGATTGGAATACCTCCACCCATGGTGGCACACTCCTGTTGCAAGCACAAAGATATGCATTAAACATAATTGATACGGCATGATACAAAGCTGTCTATAAATACCATCACAGTTCAACCAATAACACTGCATCAACGAAGAGAGAAAGCCATTTTCAACACTTTAGATTGGTCGAATGGTCAGTAATCTGTAAAACTAACACCAATTAACGTTTGGACTCACCATCAGTGTAGATACCAAATTGTGACATAGGAAGTTCCGTCCAGACGCCAGCGATATGCGCGCTTGTTTTATTTTTTAGCCTTAGCTTGCAGTTTTATGAAACACATGAGGCAGTGTGGATGGAAAATGTTTTTTCTACATGGGGATGTGGAATTATTCGGTATTAACCTATTTTTAAACCCTTGAGTGTGCTTACATGTAAAATAGTACCTAAAGTATGACCGGTAAATCTGCCATTTAAAAAAAAAACAAACACTAGTATTAGGGATGGCACAGTATTCCATATATCTCGGTACCTCTGTTTCAAAATTCTCACAATAATGTCATGGGAAGTGACGTACGGTATCAGATGCTGCCAGTGTACACGGCACTACATCATGAGTGGCCACCCATCTGAAAAGTGAAACATTGCCCTGTCAACTTGAAAACCATGCCACAAGGAATTCCGTGGGAGCCTAAAGAGTCTTAAAGGCTCATCTCATTTTGAATTTTTTTTTGTCACATAGCAGTCATACATAGGAGGCAAAAGCTGGGAAGAGACTTGAGATCCACCCTGAGCCTCTCGACCTATCACGGCCCAGCTTGGTTACATCTGCAAACCCACTTGCTCCTTTGTAAACTAAAAATAACCTCCAGAGTAACATGCACAGCAGTGCTTTAATATCTTAGAATGTCTGAAAAAAAAAAAAAAAAAAAAAAAAAAAGAACTGATATGAAGCGCACTAAGTTGTTGCTTCGAGACGAAAGGTCATGTCACTAGTCTGCCAATATTCTGGATATTTTTAGTTGTGTTTTGCTAGTAATTTTTTTCTATGCTAGTTTGAATATATCTGTGTATAAGAATGTTACTGGACTTGGCAACAGCTTTGTTTCATGTCATATGCTTTGATTACCTCAATTTTTTTCTGGTTTCTATTTTTATAAAATACTTTGCACTATGTACATACAGTGATCCCTCGCTACTTCGCGGTTCGTTTATCGCGGGTTCAGTGCATCGCGGACTTTTTCAAACATATAAAAAAAAAAAAAATTTAAAAAAGTTGTTTTTTTTTAATATACATGGAGTACAGTCCTGTATATGTTGCTCTATGTGACTCGCTGTTGTTTTGCAGCTTCTCGCGGACCGTTTGCGGACTTAAAAAAAAAATATAGATTTTTTTTTTACCTGTTTATGTTAATTGGACGCTACTTCGCGGATTTTGGTTTATGGCAGGTGGTTTTGGTCCCCATTAACCGCGATAAACGAGGGATTGCTGTATTTTGAAATAAATTGTTAGACCTGTTTGTATAGGGCGGCCCGGTGGGCCAGTGGTTAGCACGTAGACCTTACAGTTCAATTCCAGCTCCGGCCTCCCTGTGTGGAGTTTGCATGATCTCCCGGGGCCTGCATGGGTTTTCTCCGGGTACTCCGGTTTCCTCCCACATTCCAAAAATATGCATGGCAGGCTGATTGAACACTCTAAATTGGCCCTAGGTGTGAGTGTGGATGGTTGTTCGTCTGTGTGTGCCCTGCGATTGGCTGGCAACCGGTTGAGGGTGTCGCCCGCCTACTGCCCGAAGACAGCTGGGATGGGCTCCAGCACCCCCCGCGACCCTTGTGAGGATAAGCGGATCGGAAAATGGATGTTTGTATAATGATTCACATGCTTGATGTGGAGACATTCAATGCAATTGTTGACAAAATATTTAGCACGTTTTGTTTAAATAGGCATTTATTTAATTTCTATATTGACCAATGTGGTTGACATATTCATAGTTGTGTTAACTTTTTTTTTTTTTTTAACAAAGGGTAACTTTCCTGGCACTTAATTTTCCACAACATGGCATTTTTCCTCAAGTTATTGTTCTAATAACGCTGTAATATCGTAATGTGGCCTTAAAAACGTCAATATATCATACCCCAGTTAGTATTATAGATTTTTTATTTTATATTATTTATTTTTTGGCTGATGAGCTGGTGACAACATGGCAGCGAGCAGTTTTCTACTTTACTAAAGAGGCACTATTTTGACAGCCATTTCTCAGTGGTTGAGTTTTGCATTGTCAGACAGTGAGCAACAAAAGGTCCGCTGCAAAGTATGTACTTAAATATTGACTGGACAGTTACAGGTATTACCATTGTACGTGATTTCCATTGAATACACAGGTGCATATTAACAGTTGTTTGATGCACAAATAGGGAACACAGTACCTTGTTCTTGAGCAGAAATTTATTCCTGCAAATGAGGATCTCTCGCAACCACTTGAGAACTTCGGTGCCATTGACCATCTGCTGGCCAATCAGTTTGCGGCAGATGAGGAACTGCACCTGTGAACTAATGGATAACGATGTGTCATAAAGGCCTAAGTAAATCATCTTAAAATAGGCTTGACTTGAGTGTCTGTACCAAGCTAAAACTTTCAGTAAAAAATAGTGCATTTATGAATGCAGTGACAGACTATTTTCTTGCTGGGTGAGACCTACAAATTTATTTGCTTAAACCCTCTGCGCCACGTAACGTCAAGTTCTGTGCGCTTATGTGTCACTTTACAGGTGCATTCCATTCACATGAAAAGTCACATTTCTTTTTGTAATTGTTGACATTCGATTATTGGCACGGCACACCTTATGATCTCTCACATCACTGCACACTGGGTGGGAACCACTGCCTTAGAGTACCTGATATCCCAGAAAGTCTCTATCGGCGCATCAGGATTCCACTGTTCAATGGATTCTGGCTGGTGCAGTACTAAAAGAGCCTAAACAGACAGTAGGAGATAAAAGGAAAAACAAAGGACAAAACCACAATGAAGAAGCAAACGTTTTCAGACAACTGCAAAACCATCGAATGTAAAAAACAAAACATTTTCCTACAGATTGTGAACATATAAAATAAGAAGAAAAGACTAATAATCCCTGCCCAGGGAAATTTACGTGTTACGGCAGCATTATTGGAAAATTTAAAAAGTAGCACATTAAGAAACAAATCTTTGTGCTTCTCAAGTCTTGATGGGGATTTTAATTAGGAATTTAACAATTCAGCAACGATTGAGCGAATTCAAGGTTTGATTCCTTTGATGTCGCTTTATGATTCACTGTCCTACATGATTCAATCTTTATTAATATACACAATAAAATTTTAAACAATATATCATGTTAATATACAATACTATATTTGTTTATTAAATTACATGTATTGTATTAACATATTTATTTTACTCATAGTATAATTTATTAAAATATGAGTGAATTAATTTAGCAGAGTAGACTGTGCCTGTGTTTTCTTCCAAGTATTGCTTGAACAGGGTGTGCACCCAGTGTAACTTGGAGTCACTTTAGACCAAACCCTTCTCAAATAGTTTTTTTTCTTTTTTCTTTTTTACTGTACTGGAGTAAAGTGTAACTGGACATGCAGTAAAGTGGGTGGCAGTTGTGATGGAAAATTTGAGTTTAAACTGTGTCATGCAATCTGCGTCTAGGGCTGTAACAATGGCATCTTTGTTTCTTTTCTTGTGTTCTGGCTGGTGGGTGGGGTGGGCGGGGATGTGCAGGTCTGATTACGGCCAGCTGGTGTGGCTGATGCATGCTGAAGATCATGTTTCACCGACCAACGGTAGAAAGGTATTGTGAACATGACCATGTCAGGCCATGCAATTAGCGTTTGTGCTATGAGTTGACTCCACCTTGATGATAAGATGGTACGAAAGCAGGGACATCATCACCCCTGCCGGGGGAGAGATGCTCTGTTACAGACGTTACACTGTGTCACAGACTTTACACTCTGTCACATGGTGTTTCTCAAAAACTGCAGCTAAAATAAATCTCATTGTTGTTCAAAGACTTTTGTTATCTTGGTTTCCCTCGACAGTAGACAGGGGCACTCACATTTTTTTCCTCTGGCCAATCGATGCACTGCAAATCTATTCTGTTACAGACTAATAAAACAATGTTAACAAAAGTATTCTTTGTTAATTTATATTAACTGTAAATTGTAGCGATTCAACCAGTCTTAGGATCAGTAGACGTGCAGTTTAAATAATAAATAAATAAATAAATAAATAATTTAAATAAATAAATACATACATACATACATACATACATACATACATACATACATACATAAATGTATTTATTTATTTATTTATTTCAGCCTCAAACCTCCATGGCTTCTTGTGAGAGTTGGGTTGTGTTGGCGAGAGGCACTAGTTGCACCAGACCAATTATGAGCTCAGCTGTGCTGCTCTGCATGTCTGGAGCTTGCTTCACAGGGTTCTAGTGGACAACAATGTGAATTAAAGATTCTCGTCGAGCTAGAATGGGCCTTGAACCTGCCTGAATGAAAGTAAGACAGATTATCACTCACATGCAACATGAGCTTGGGGTCAGCATGGATTAGTTTGACCAGAGCAAGCAGGAGGCACTTGTAACTTCTCGTATCCAGTTCGGTGGTTTTCTCTTTGAACTTAAGGCTGGTTGTCATCTTCCCCTTGAAAGTCAAACTCTGTCCGAGATACCGATGAGAAAAATGTCAAGATTCAACACCATAACAATGAATCAACAACATTGATGACAATCTGATGACAAGAGTACACTGGTCATGCTCAGCCTTTAGATACTTATTTTAGAAACATACTTCCATGATCAGGCTCTAATGGCCTCAATTTAGGGAGGTGGAGTTTCCAGACATATTAGGTAAAACAGACTTTAAATAACTGTGGTACAAATATTTGGGGATTCGGAGAGTCCACACAAGTGTGAAATTACACAACCAAATCAACCTTTGTAAATGGCCTACTTTCAAAAATGTGCCCGAAATCACGCCTTTCAGATTTTGAAGATAACGATGCTACAATTTGTGTTTGGTGACGCGTATAGTGCACGTACCACATGCACACATCTGTACCTTCATCCTGGACTCAGACTGCAAGTCCAAGTGCCTAGTTTTTGTTCAATGCAGAAGATTTCAAAAAACGCATATTGAGGTCCCGCCCCCACTTCAATAAATCAAATAAATGTAATGATCACATGATCTTCATTATTTGGACCTTGCATCATATTCTTGAACAAAACCAATCATTATTCCAGGGACAAATTGATTCTGAGAAAATAAAGTCCAGTCTTCATTATTCTACTGTATTTACCATAAGAATGTGCATACTTACCGGTGTCATGCGAAGAGGAGCATGGGTACTTTGGACAACCCGGTTGAGGGTGTCTGAGAACATAAAGCGGAGTTCTCCAGAGTAACAGTACACCGCATCTATCTTCGGCCACCAGTCCAGATGAGACTGCATGAGGGCACATGCAATGTGAAGTGAATGAAAGTAAAGTACAGACATGCATAAAACAAAATATCGGTCTAATGGTGCTCTGGAGACTTACATTGGTGATTATTCTGTGCAATGAGTTGACCAGGACAAAGTGGAAGGTTGAAGGAGAAGATGAAGCCAAGCACACCTTCAAAAAAAATAAAAATAAAAATAAAAAAAGAATGGATGTCAGAACTCTGAATTAATTTCCTCAAATAATCCTATTTATTTATTTTTGATGAGAACTAAGGCAGCAGTAAAGATTACTTCAAATTGTATTGTTTCATTTTGCGGCACGGCTCTTGCAATGCATTAGAATTATATTCAAGCCACTGTGGTAAAAACACCGACAGTAGTGCACAGGCACCTGCTTCAGGTTGGACTGAAGTTAAATTTATATTTTAATCTTAAATGACTTTGCAGGATTGTTTATATTAACCCACCTTAAAGTGCTGGTTGTTGTGAGGGTTGATGCGGAAACAGGAGACAAAGCAGTCCATCATGAGCTCAACATCAGCATTCTGGCTGCCCGCCCCCCTCCAGAAGGGTTTTGCTGGGTTGAACAGCAAAGCCTTGTGACATGGACAAGAGACAGATGTCAGACCATGTAAAATTCGGGTTATTATATTCTATTCTCACATCACACGACTAATCAATTAAGGCGAACACAGCAAATACCGCTAGCATACAAGGAATATTGGTTTTGTTATTCAGAAACAAATGTATAAAACTACAATCAAATAAATAAATGTATGCATAGTCCAAATCTGTTCCAAAAAGGTCCTACTTGTGTATTTGTATGAAGTAACACTGTCACTGAATGAAGGGGCTTGACGCGAGTGATGGCTTCAAAGTTCACCAAATTTATGAGGTTGATGTTGTCACTGTCAGCAGTGGTAGTGTGCATCTCATGAGAACCCTAACAGATGAATCTCTAAAACCAGACTAAATTTATTCAGCAATTTGCACCATTGAAAAGTTCACATTTTGTCAATAATGAATGTGATGTTGCTGTTCCCTGAGCCCTGATCATATGTGACTTCATTTTGAGTCGATAACGACTGGCAAAATGTGTTTTTGAAGGTGCTAATTGTACATGAAAATTAATGAAGTTATCACATTCATTACAGACAAAATATTTACTTTTTACGGCTGACAATGGCTAAATAAGTCTAATATCCTGTGAATAGAGGATTGAGCCATTCCTTCAACTCTATAGAATTAGAAAAAATAGTGGAGAGTGACAAGGGTGGCATGGGTACAAAAATAATTGAACTTTACGGTTAGTACGAAACGCCTTTCATCTTTTACATGGAACAAATAATTAATGACTCTTGACAGAGGGGGTTGAATTTAAACTTGATATTGCATTTGTTCGCACAGAATCAAATACAAACACAAAAGAGAAGGGAGAGAACTTAAGCCAATATTCAGACCTTGAGATCCATGACAATGGACTGGACAAGGAGAAAAATAGTTGAGTGATCCTCCCAATTAATGTAAGTTGATGCTTTACACAGTTTTACACAGGCGATAGCAGCGCTCTCCATCAGTTGCTTGCTACCACCCTGGCCGGCCAAAGCCTTCCGTAAACTGTCCAAAAACAGTTTCTGCAGGCACAACAGGAAAGACATAGAGCCAGTTATTACTGACGAAGATTATTTATGGTGTGTTCCCCTCTCCCGCTCACCTTGTTGGCTTTGCTATCTTCCACAGTGTCTTTGGAGATTGTGTGTGTGATCTCTGGGCAAAGGATCAAGAGAATGATCTGAAGTGGCCACACTGCAGCCTTCCTTTTAGCGCTCTCCGCAAAACTATCCACCAGGTCAAACAACTTCTCAGCAGCTTCTGCAGAAGTAACACAAACACACGGACGGACCACCATGGCATTGTCAAAAAGTGACATTTAGAGTGTATACACATATATGCGCCCATCAATCCACATCTTTGTTATACAGTGTGTGTACATACATATATATATATATATATATATATATATAGCTGTATTTTATATACATACATATATAGAGTACATACATATACAGTATGTATCACAATTTTTTTGTGTTACTTCAAAGACCAACATCATGTGTATGTGTGTGCACTTAAAATGCCCCCATTCCATACCCTCCCTCTGTTTTGCATGTTTCGACCAACTCCCCTTCTATGTATGGCTTTTGATCCTGTGCAATGTTCCAAGCTAGTTGATACGATCACTTCATAAATTTTGGTAACAGGTGTTTCTACTTTTCTGCTTGACCTTTGAAAGAGAGCAATTTGTGCTTGCTTGTGCCTGGTTGATGCTTGCATGGAGAGAACTGAAGTACCGCAAAAAATTTGAAGCCTTGAAATGCTCAAATGATGTAAGGCAGAATGCCCTTGTTGAAACCTCCTCAGCATATCTGCTCACAACATATACGGGACGGGGTTTGTTCCGTATTTTTCTAATTGTCCCATGCGTCTGTCACACACAAACGTTGACACTGAATTTAACAATAATGAAAAAAATCAAAGACAGGAAATATTAAAGACAGTAATGTGGTATTGGCAGGAGGTACACTGCACCTCCTGCGGACACGCGAGCGTAGACTACGTCTGGTGCGTTCTCCTCTGCTCTGTGTCAAATCCTGTCTGTCTGCCTGCCAGTGATGTGTTCCTCGAGCCGGTCCTTGGCCTCGAGGACCAGCTCGAGGACCGAAGGTCGGTCCTTGGTCCTTGGCCTTGGGAGTCAATTCCTTGGCCTTGGCCTTGGCCTTGGGAGTCAAGTCCTTGGCCTTGGCCTCGGGTTGCCGGTCCTCGGACACAATGTGGGATTAGAGTCTCGAATCCCTTGTCCACAGGTATAAAGTGGGACAGAGGATCGCAAAAACCACGAAGGAATCAAATAAATTCCATCCAGTGAAACGCATATTGATGGATTAAGCTGGCGCTTTAAAAGGGGCGGGTCTGCCACTGACAGGCGACTGTTAGCGCAACGAATAAAGAGCGGCATCACAGTTAGTTTCAATCACGGTTTGTTCCGTTCGCGATCGGCAGTTTAAATAGCGTGTAAAGTCTTTCTGTAACAGTGGTGTCTTTTATGTAGTTATTTTTGCACAGTCGTCACGTTTCTGCGGTGGCACTA